CTACTGGACTTATAACGTAAAATACTATCACATACTTCACTTTTTTTATCAGTCACCTATGATTTCCGATTAAAATGAAATAACATGGCATGAACCTAACATTCCTCTGGTTCTGTCTAAACAGCATCTCAATAAACGTGAGGTCATAAGGTCGTTCAGTAAATGGAACAATTCGAGTATAATCGTCGACAATTTGTACCTAAATATAGAGTGTTTTTAAACGTGACTCTTCAAACACACAATGAAATACTTGATTGCATATCTGAAAAAACATCTAGCAACCGACAAAGTAGGCAAATTGAAAATTACTCAATTTCCAACGGGAATCATGCGTAAAAAGGAGTGGTCAGTCAGATGGAAATCATCGAGTTACAGGAAATTCGGTTTTATCCCTGTCACGGCCATATTTAGGAGGATTCTAAAGTTAGGGATGCTTTGAGTCAAATTTTAATGTATGTTTTAGGTGAAAAACAGAAAGATATATTTGGAGGGTCCAGATCTGTAAAAATAATGGGCTAATATTCATGATTCACTACTATTTATCACCACTATTCCTCCAATTATACAGAGACTGCGATTTTCACCTATTTCATGGGTAAGCGTAAAAAAAATAGCAAAAATGAAATGACTGCAATTACTACTAAAGAGAAGTGAAAAAAAATGTGTATGGCGGCGTATATGAACCTCTCTTGAATCGAAGAAAGGAAAAACTCAAAACAATTTTCTGTGACTGTTAGGTTGGTATTCAAGTAACACTTTATTGTGAGATTTTCACTCAACAGTTTACAAAACCGCAACACGTGTTTCACTATACTATTCTTTTTTCCCAAAAATAATTATTTATTCATCAATTTCTACTTTGTTCTCTTCAAAGTAGTCCCTCTCAGATATAATACACTTGTGTCAGCGTTTTTTCCAATTCTCGATGCACTGCACCACGGTAATCGAAGAAAACAAAGATACAGACGTGCTTTTTTGGTCTTGGCTCTTCTATTTGGACAATGGGACTTTGGTTTTGATGTCATAACCATATACCCATGATTCGTCACCAATTATGACCCTTTCAAGCAAATCTGGATCGCCGTTGACGTCATTCAACAATACCTGAGCGATGCTTATGCGACGGTTTTTTTTTGGTCAAAATTCAGCAATTTTGGAACGAACTTCACTGCAACACGCTTCATACTCAAAATTTTCGAAAAAGTTGTGTGGTATGGGCCAACCGATATTCCGACATCCTCAACAACGTCTCTAATAAGGTGTTTTCTGGCTTTTAATCGTATTCGAGCGTGTATTAAAAAACGATTCGTAGTGACGTCATAGTTTTTTCAAAACTACACACCACGATTTGATCTCCACAAACTTTGGCAGGACTTTAGTATTTGGGATAACGCCCACCAGGGGGAGTGGCATATCAATCGAAAGGGGACGATGAGAGGAACACAATGGTATGGGTTTCATCGCGAGGAAATGACAAAAAATATTTTTTATTCATATTATTCTATTACATATATTTTGGTTTGAACTGACTTTTTATACATGACAAAAATTAAAACTTGTATTTGAATTTTCAGTTAGGTTAGGTTAGGTTAAGTTAGGTTAAGTTAGGTTGGGTTAGGTTAGGTTAGTTCATGTCAGAAAATTTTGACATTTCTCAAATTTTTTTCCTCTTATTTCCTCGCGATAAAACCCATACCATTGTGTTCTTCTCATCGTCTCCTTTCGATTGATATGCCACTCCCCCTAGTGGGCGTTATCCCAAATACTGAAGTGCAGCCCAAACTTTATTTGAAAAACATGACATGATTCGCTAGCACAGTAGCTTTATCAAGTGGTATCGAAAGTGCTAACAAAAAATGTGATATATTTTTCAAATAAAGTTTGTGGAGATCAAATCGTGAGGTGTAGTTTTGAAATTACTATACTTAGATCTTCATCAAGTAACGGCCGAATCAATCCGAAAATTAATAATAAGATTCGCCAGAATGGAATGATTCAATTTGTGTCAGATGTCAAATTCAATAATAAAATCAAACTTTTCAATTTTCTCTAACCTCAATTATAATCTGATTTGTGCAAGAAATAATTTACCGCTTTATTTTGTACATCCTTGCAACATACTTGATAAAAATTTTTCAGCACTTTATAAACTATAACGATCATTATAAAGCAGAAACTGACAACTGACGTAACGTAACGTCAAATTCTGTTTCAAAACCAACCTCACGCCAGCTTTAAATCATCATGAATACGTTTCAAATCATAGTTGATGTGACGTCATCGTTTCAACGCCAGAATGAATGTATTTGAATCACAGACAAATACGTTCTGAATACATGAGCGCCAGAAAACGCCTATAGTGATTCGACGTTTCTTCATAACAATTTTCTTCACTTTCTCAACATTTTCATCGGTTGTTGATGTTCTGTTGCGTGACGCAACGAGCTTCAGAGTACAATCACTACGATCAATTTAGAAAAAATAAAGGTTTCAACTCAGAAAAGCTAGTAGTTTCTCTGGAGAAACTATTAATCATTTTCTTAATGAAGCAGACCATTTCATATTAAGACGCTGATCCACAAGGGTGTGAATCCTTGGGTGGTTTTGAGAATGAAAGTTCCTATGTTTTAAAACTCGTTATCTTTTGAGCTACAGAGCATAAAACCATAAAAAAGTGTTTTATCATAACTTTAAAACTTCCTATGTATGTGTATGCAATTTAATTCACGCCCTCTATGGTTTAAATCAGTGGCGTATGTAAAGAAATATAGACTTAATATTTTTGGAAATATATTATGTGGGGCACTGCGTTTCCTCAAAATAAAAACTTTTTTTATAATCACTATTCAATTGAGGGCAAATTCCTAGAAACAAAAACAAAACTTTTATGCATGGTCAATTTGCTAAGCTGATGAGATGTAGTGTACCTTGGAAGATCTTTTCAAAAACATAAATGAAAAATACATAAGTTATGTTAAAATTAGCTATTTATGAACGATCTGGGAGGTAAAAACACTGCTCAAATAATTAGTATTGAAAAATTACTAAAATGGAATACTGCTGCTTTTATAAAAATATCAAATCTGGAAAAATATTCTAGAATACAGTGTTCGTAGAAATACATTGTAGATGTAAATCCTTAGCCATAGCTGAGGGCTACATAGATATACGGCGGGACTGATTTATGAAAATTCATGAAACCTTATGGTTGTGTCCAGAAATTATGTTTGAAAATGTCCATATAGAATGGTTTGTGGAAAAATGTGGAATTAGGTTTATTACTAGTTTTATAGACAGTCAAGTCAAGAAAATTCACTGTTACAGACTGATACATCATCTAAGTATAAGACATTATTTATTATCTGAATAATATCAGTCAAAAACATGATTTCAAAATTAATTTTCTACAAACGAACTTAGAACTACACTGTAATACAGTATGCCTCGGTAAATCAATATCAGCATTCAACATTGTTTCACAGATTATTGAATATTTCACTCTCTGAAAGCAATTTCCAAAGAGAAACAACAGATCTATAGATATTTGAGAGATTTTTTTGCATATGAGTTGAAAATAGTGGTCTTCGAAGAAGAACGAAATACTCAGAAAGATCTACAACCTTTGGGACTGACAAGTAATTAATTCTGAAGTTGTGCAGTTCTTTATTCTCGACCATTCTTACTTGATCGAGCATTAGCAAACCTGTTACGATTTTTGGGGGCTTCTCATCAATTAGCCAACGACACATCTAACACAGAACCTGTTCAAATCAATACAGTATTTTTTGTAGACTTAGAACAAATGGATGAGTTAAGACACCTTTCAAGCAGTAAAAAACGCCTCATTCAACATGTTCCATTGATATTTTGTCATTTTGATGATTTTTTCAATAAAAACTGGTTGTGTTTTTAGGTGTGACTTCAATTTTATCGTTGAATTGAAAATAATCATTACAAAACTGAAATATACCTTTCATATTAACTTGAAAAAAATATGTACTTATTGATTTTCAATTATATTGTAAAGATCTTATTGTTGTTAAAAACTGTCATAATTTAACCTATTTATCTAATTAATTTCCTAATCATACTTCAGAAGTAGACGTAATATTCGAAAAAGATAAGAGGCTTTTGTCATCCTTTCTGTAAAATTTCAAAACCTTGGTAACATTGTGTAAATTTCATTTATTGGGATTCATAGACCAGTTTGGGACTGCTTTACACGTAACTTTGTGATTTTAGTAGATTTAAATACAGAAATAAATTGTTATTGTTAACATTTTTGGTTTTGGTTGAAAAAAACTTCAAATACCTATACTACCTTTTCCCATAGGTATCAATATGTTTTCATTAAAAAAATGTGACTTCAAATCACAATAAACCACATTTTACCCTATAATTAAATCTCAATTTGTTTGTGTGCCATGAGACATTGGCCTCATTTTTTACTCCTTATGAGAAAATTATTTTTTTGATGAATAGGATTTCTAATAAGCAGTCTCAAATGGATCCAGAATGAAATATATAAGACATCAATTAATGTACTACTCAACTTCAGTAACGGTAAATTTCATGACGAGTAACCTAATAGATGAAACATTCTGACATTTGTCCAACAGTGATTCGATTAATCGACTCACCCTGTATTTATTTAAACGCCTTTTGACCTACATACAAATCAGTTTCAAGAAAAAAAATGCGATTAACAACCAGGGCACTGGCAAAATCACACCACTTAAGCGTTATTAATGAGTCAAATAAAGATGCATTTTTCCAATTTTCTACCATAAAAAAATCAATGAATTTCATTTCAAATTCGATTAGTGCGTACAATTTGTGAAAAATGTTCGTTTGTCTATTCTTAGTTTTTGTTTTGTCAATACAAATCGAGTTACGCACCTCAAATTGTTATTGTTTTGGTTATTTTTGGCTTGTAGGTTATAAAGATAGCACAACTTTACCCTTATCTATCTTCCAGCCACACAGAACAAGTAACGTACCTTATCAGAAACAGATGTTATCCATAAATATGATAGTTTTTTTATGGAAACGGCACACACATTCACAGCGAACTGGGATGGGCCACGAACCATAAACAACAAACGATCAACAACAGAATCTTCAATCGAACAAGATGATAGCGACACTTGTCTAACCTCTAAATATGTATAAATATTACTTTTTGCGATTGCATTCACGAACTGATGCAGCGACTATAAGAGGTGGAAATCGTCATCGAATTCCAAATAGACTTTTCTCCGGAAATATTTGATCACAGAAGAAATACGTGAATAATAAGCGAACTACTTTTTGGTTGCTGGGCAACTCGGCGTAGGATTACTATATGGGAGAATCGCTATTTAAAATTACGTCACGCATATATAAAGCGATGGAGTCACACCCATGGTCTATTTAAAAGTATTATTTCATTCTAGCTTTATCATATACGAACCAGTCGTTTATTGAAATTCCTCAATACTTTCAAATATGAAATGTAATAATAAATTCTAACAGGTCCCTGTCAGAAAAATATTTAATTCCTAGGATTTGTTTCTATTTAAAGTTCATTTAAAATTTAAACTAATGCGATAAATATAACTATTTAAACTATGAACAATAAGGATTGGTTTATTCAAAGTATCTACATTACTATTATTATTACTCAATATTTCAATTATTTGTTTTTTAAGGGAATCATAATGAAAAAATGCAAAAGCATAATATACCGAAGTATTTAGGGTATGCTCCAAAAGTCACCAGAAACATGGTCAGGTGTCAGGTAATTCGTAAATCATTTCTGAAGAGATGCATATAAGAATGATGACGTATTGAACATATTTACCTGAAAGATGGTCAATCAAATGTCCAAGTACCCTCAAGTTTTCTAGGAAGCAGAAGCAGTGAAATTTGATAAATTTCACTACTTGATCAACAACTGCTATAGGTTCAAATATTCGAACATAGAAGAGCACTGAGTTTGTTGTCATATTTATCATTTCATGTTATTTATATGTTCGTGGATATTTTGTTATATATAGACTATATTCAAGTATGTAACACTTCATTGTGAGATTTCCACTGATTGATCAGTTCACAAAATCGCAAGACGTGTTTAGCTATACAATAGCGTCCTCAAACCTTTTAAAACGCTTGAGGGAGCTATTGTATAGCGAAAGATGTGTTAGGGTTTACTGAACTGTCTTGAATAAGTAAACTTGAATGAGATATGGATTTTCATCAAGTACCGGCCAATTCTATCACATATTCCCATAAATATGGTAAAATTTCAAGTTTTACATAAGAGCAATGACGAACTGGCCATTAAAGAGAGAACTCTGACTTCAACAACTGAAAGAAGATGATAAAAATTAATAATTTGACTTCTTCTTCTCTTTTTTATAATATTTGCTTCCCTTTCGGTGCAGTAGACTTTACATCACTAATAAACTTCTGATACGTCAAGATGTTTTACGTGTTGCCCATTTTCATTGACGTTGATTTATTTGTAACGGCTTTTTTCGAGTAATTTTGTTTTTAAACTTTTTGATAGTCGTTTGTTATTAGTAATATTGATACTTATTAGTAAAAATAAAGTTTATATTATGAAAATTTGTAATATTATCATGAAGTGTTTTTAATTTTCACCAAAGATCAGTGTGTTCAAAATAGTATAACTTACAGGAAATGTTTGTGTAACGTAATTTTGAGTGTATGTGTGTAGTTCCAATATTTTTGACAGAGGTCATAGTGATAGATAAAGAATGTACCTTTCTTTTGACAACGAAGATTCTCATCAATCTAGCACTCTCATCTGTTTAACATCTACGAACGACAACTCTCAAGGCGGACTAAGAATTAAAGAGGTATTACCATTAACCGTGCAATTCATAACACACTATGTACTATAGTTAACTATAATAATAGAAAAAATAAAAATATTCTTGAAGGATTTTTTAAAGATATTTTTTATTACCAGAGAATGTATCGGTATAAAGTATCACTTCGTTTCAGATTACAATACTTATCTGAAACAAATATGAATGCACAAATCCTTTATTACTTCAATCAATCACAATCTTCTACTTTCTCAAGTTTGGTTGCTTGCAGAGCAAAGTTGACAGATGTATTAGAGCACCAGTGCCATGTATTTGTGACAACATTGTAGAACATCCCATGTACAAGTTCTGTTCTGCAATTATCTGAAAAAAAAAATAGTACACAAGTTCTAATATTTGCTGAACCAAGATGTACAAATGTTCATTTCATCTTGAAGCAACATATATCATGGTTCACACAATTGAGGTCAGCTGTTATGGGTGAACTTGAAATGACGGGTACAATGAGATATACATATCATGTAAGCTTAAGTCACACAACTATTATAGTGAGGATCACAATGATAGTAAGTCATGATACGATGAACTAATCCCGACAGTGAGGAATTCCAGCCATTCTCTAGTAAGCTACTTGGAGTATTGGTAAATGAGCTATTTGGAGTATTGAGTCCGCATTCATTTCATCAGCATTCAACACAACCCTTGAATTGTTTAACGATCATTCCTCTTTTTCAAATGAGGTTCCTACTTGTGTCAGTTCTGGAAAAGTCGATTGGATAATAATGTGCCTTCATTAGCATGGTTTGTATTGATTCCATCACGTTTTGCAATCATATGAAAGTCATTTATATACATTATGAATGAAAGGGGTCCTAGGCCAATAAACCTGTGAAGCGCAGAGGGGATAGGTGAAAGCATTCGAATGACCTTTAAATGGTCATAGGAATAGTCGTCTTCACCCGAAGACAATTGTTATATTTGAAACGTCGGAAAGTAACTTGGTTTGAAATCTTTGTTCAATTTTTAATTTTTTGCTTATCATTTCACGGTTTATTGCTCAATATAATTGTTATTTTTAGCTATTCATTTTAATTGTTCTTTCAGAGTTTTCAAATCATGTATTATATAATATTAGATAGTTTTATCTTCGTTTTCATTTTCAAAAGAACGCTATATAGAAGTATGTATTACATCGCATATTTCATTGATGACGCATATAAAATCTTTTATTGCTCCAACTGTAACTACGGATTTCATCATATCCAAATACATTCTTGTATGAATAAAGAGTGGTGCTTTTTGAAACCGATACTCACTATCTTCCAACAGCCTCTGCAACTCATGTGGCTTGATGAACTTCTCGTACTGGTGCGTACCTTTCGGTACTAACCTCGCTACGTCCTCGGCTAAAAAGACCGCGACAAAATCAGCCAACCTAGTCTTGCTCAATGTCGTCACAAATATCGACCCATTCGGCTTCAAACACTTCGCGCAAGCCTCGATGAAAGCACTCTTCTGCGAAACGTGTTCTATTATTTCCGAGGCTACGACAGCATCGTACTTTTCTGCGTTGCCCAAAGCATGATCCTCTATGGAGCTGGTGACGTAATTTATGTCGAGGTGGTTCAGATCGGCGTGCGATCTGGCTACTGTTACTATCTCCAAGTTGGCGTCGATTCCTGTAATAATGCCGCCCAGTCGAGCCAGTGGTTCTGATAATATTCCACCTATAAAAAAAGATGCACCCGTGAATGTGGCGATATCACATCTGCCCAAATCTGTTTTTCCTTCAACCCACTGTCGCCCCTACGAACGACAATCCTCACATGTTGAAACTTGTGAGAACTAAGAATTAACAAGGTCTTAACTTTCAACACGCGATTCCTAACACGGGGAAATTATGGAATAATTTTGTGACATGTGTTAGGTTGTTTCCAAAGTTTTGCCCATTTTAATGAGTATACTTTAAACTGTAATATCTCAGTGGATACTTATTCAATTTAATCGAAATAGGCGTCATTTGAATCAGTGCATTTTTGTCAACGTAACATAGGCTGATTAATTCCGTCAACATAAAAATTGTGTGCCCAGAATTCGATGAAGTCAACGAAGACCGTTTTTGCCCGTTTCTGATTGGCGAAGGTGAGAGAGTTATTGAAGTGCTTGAAAAAATGGTAGTCGGCTGGCGAGGGATCTGGGAAGCATGTTGGGTGAGGCAGAACTTTGATGCTCAATTCGTTTAATTCTTGGAAGGTTATTTGTGAAACGTGTGGACGGGTGATGGTTGACCAATGCCGACTGCTGCTGATGCAATTTTTGATACAATTCTTCGATTTCCTCACCATTGTACTTAGGTGTGATGGTTTGGTCCGGTTGCAGAAAGTTATAGTGAATCATTTCAGCCGCTGACCACCATACAGTAACCATGTTTTTTATGGGTTTTCGCCTTTGGGAAGTGTCTGGGTGGTTTATCGATATCCAACCACTGCCCTGAATGTCTCCTATTGTCGTACAGGATCCACTTTTCATCACATGTGACGATCCGATCCAAGGGGATCGTTTTGGTTGCGCAAAAGCCAAGAAGAACAGACCTCGAAACGTGACTACTTCTGTCGATCCATCAAATCGTGGGGCACCCACTTTTCAAGCTTTTTGACCTTTCCAATACGTTTCAAATAATGTTGTAGATCATGCCCGAAAAAAGTAATTCCAGCCGCCACTGGTAACCACAAACCAAACGTGACGTAGCTCCCTCCCCCATGCCCCTCCCGGGTTGAGTGCCCTGAAATAAAAGATTCGCCCCACAACTTAGGAAAACCTAATACTCCACTCCATCCACCCCCGCTCTCCGAGCGGTCCTCAACTTACTGATGGGCACTTCAGCAAGATTGACATCTGACCTCTTTTGGTCGAAAGTCAGCCTTTCGATGCTTACACTTTCTGATCGGTGACGTAGCTAAGAGCGCGGGAATGCCCAATGTTCCCTGCCGCTCGAGAAGCAGCAAGAACTTCGGCGAAAATTCTACGATGTTCGATTACGATATTTAAGCGCACAGTGGACGTTACAGTGCGGTACGCGAAGTGATCTGATTGATTGATAATATGTTTATTGTTCAAGAATAAATTCTTGTTATAAACACAATGTCATAAATAAATATCAATATAAACATGAAGTATAAGATGTGAAGTATAAGTGTATAAAATATAAATGATTAAAATAAAATATAAACTATATATATAAAATATAAACTATATATACATACATATGCAGAGGTTACTTGACAAGAACTAGGACAACGAATAAAAATATATGTTTCACACACAGTTCAATCGCAGTTTCATCACATTCTAAATTACAGGGCATCGTTAAAATATTCTTGTAGGTCATAATAGGCTTTATCACTTGATAGTTTTGTACATTTATTTCTGAATATGATGAAAGAAGTCTCTTTGATTTCATTGGGAAGTTTATTGTATATCCTGATTCCATTATATATCAACGAGTTTTGAACCAAACATGTTTTTGGAATTGGTAGACTCAGTTCATTTGACCGCCTTGTGTGGTATGTGGCTGTAGCTATACATTCATATTTCTCCCAATTTTTATGTATAATTGACACGGTTTCAAATATAAATATTGAAATAACCGTAAGGATTCTATGTTCTCGAAAAAGGGGCTAACATGAATCCCGCCATTTCGCTTTACATAAGTACCTGATAGCCCTTTTCTGCAAGACAAAAACCGACTGCATAAGTTGCTCACTGCAAACACCCCAAAAGGGTATACCATACCTTAGATGAGAGCCTATCAAGCCATAATACACTACTTTAGCTGCAGCAAACCCCAGTTCCTTTGAGATGTTTCTCAGTGCGAAACATCCTGATGCCAATTTTTTGTTGATATGTGCAATATGCTGAGAGAATTTTAAATGTTCATCTAAATAAATGCCCAGAAATTTCAAAGTGGAGTTATTTTTTATTGTGTTATTGTCTAGGGGGATATCAGGTATTGCTTGAATGCTAATATATTTGTTTTGCTAGTATTCAATGATATAAGATTCGAGTCAAACCAATTCTTCACTTTTTTCATGTCTTGGCGCATTTTGTTATGCAATCTGTTTTTGTCCTTGCCATGACACACTAACGTGGTGTCGTCAGCAAATAAGGTAAAGCTTCCTGTCATCGATATGTTGGTCAATTCATTAATGTATAACAGAAACAGTATAGGACCTAACACAGAGCCTTGAGGTACTCCACAATTTATCTCTCCCACGTCCGAGTTAGATGACGTTCTTATAAATTGTTTTCTGTCAGAAAAAATATAACTGTTGTCCCTAAAACCATATTTTATGAGTTTCCGAAGCAATATGCTGTGATTGACACAGTCAAAAGCTTTGGATAAGTCACAAAGTACTGCTGCAGTGGCTTCCTCGCTGTTGATTTCATTATACAGCAATTGCAATACTGTTGATATAGCTTCACTTGTACTCTTAAAATTGTGAAAGCCATACTGATGTGTACTCAATATCCCATTACTGGTCAAAAATTCAGTTTTTTTTTCTAGTAATGCGATAGACATTCAAATAATAGTTGAAGTGTTTGTTGTATTCAAAGTGAAATGAAGTTAAGTTTGATTATTCATTGTAGTTAATTATTGGTGAACCCACGAAGGAAAAACGTAACAATAATCAAAAACCGCATAGGAGCTGACGCCCAGTTCTTCCACCATCCCATGAACCATTGGTGATGGGTACTAGGGTTCTCAAATCCTCGTCTTGGATTACTGTAGATCGACCACTCCGGAGGTCATCTTCGAGGGTCAAAACTCCGAAACGAAATTTTGCAAACTAACGTCGAACAGTGCGTTTATTAACACTATCATTGCCAAATGCCTGGTTAAATTTTCGGGCTGTTTCAGCAGCGATTTAGTACAATTTGAATTCGTAGAGAAAAATTGGCCGGAAAATCGCTCAACAACCTCACTTAGTAATGAACAGAAAAAAAACTTAAAATTTGGAAAAAAAAATGAACAGCATCAATGTATGGAGTGCAAAATTCTCTATTGATCAGTATGTATCACGATACAGTAGAATAAATATTTATTGAGATATGGGGCTACAAAAACACATGACATTGAAACGGACAAAATTTTTGAAACAACCTATTAGTTTGTTTTGGGTGAAATGAGGCTTAGGAATCAGGGTAAAAATCTTTGAACACTTTGAAATTAAATCGTATCATTTAAAAAAAATTACGTCATATCAGCAAAAATAAACTGAGATACGTAGCTCTAAAGATATTATTTTTTTTCATTTTATCTCTGGTTTTTCCATCGGATTTGCATTTGAAATATGAGGATAATTGGTTATAACTTCGAAGTTTTCAAAATGGTCATCAACTGTAAACTTCTCCATTTTGCTGTTGCCAATTCTTCTAAAACAGCTTTTTTTTTTTAAATTTGGTATAAAACACTTACCTACCTTTTCATAAATAAATATTTCATGAAGTTACCTTATACAGGATGTTTGTACTATGCAGATTTATCAAAATGAGATATTTTATGCTTTGGAGTGCAGATTTTATCTCATAATTCGTTCAATTGGCTTCAACGGGAAAAAAATCGTTGTTAGCAGCTTTCCTCATATATTGGAAATTGTATAATGCATTTTTGAAAGATGAATGCACTCGAAAATTATCTAGCTCGTTCCTAAGAAAGATTATATTGAGTGAGTAAACCATTGTAAAATATAAATCAGTCCAGCGTTGTCTGAAGAATTGTTTATAGTATAGCCTTGTTGAGCTCAGCACACATTTTGTTGATATGGATATCCCAATTTAAATTACTGTCCAAGTGGGTGGCTAAATATTTTGTGTTCTTCGCTAACTGATTACATTTGTTGTAATGGAGAATTTCATCAGAACAGATTTTGATGAGTTTGAAATAAGTTAATTTCTCTGGCACAAGGTTCTAAACTCATCTATGATAGATTCAACTATTTGAATCACTTCTTGTTTCCTTGTCTGGTATTAATACCGTTGTATCATCCATAAACAACATAATATGTCCATCAACCAGGAGGTAATTTGGTAAATTATTAAGGAATATGTGAAACGACAGACAACCGAGAACCGATCCTTGAAAAACAATTAGCTTCAGCCATCATTTAAAATTGTTCGGAAATGAATATTTTTCTAATTTGGCAGCCGTAAACTCTGCTAAGATGGAATTATTAAAAAAACATTGACACAACATAATGACCACAATCATTCCTTTGGATATATGTAACTAAGTGATATGAAGCCCTTTCAATTGTCTTATTTTGTCAAAATTCATGCTGGATCACAAACAAGTTATTATTCTCAAAATAGTTTCCCATAATTTTGTCTAATGTGGATATAGAAATTGAACAACACCAAATGATTGAAGAAGGTGATTCATAGACCATCACGTGAACGGTTTTGCAATATTTGCCTGGCATCAAGTGATGTTCAGTCGAAAGCAGCAATGTTACAGTAGTGTAGTATAATAGACGGAGACGGTCAGTGTATGATTACCCACAGTGAATCGTGTATCCTTTGAGCCTGTTTGAAAACCGTTTGACCTATCCAGAGACTTGTTCATGAGGAAAGTAAATGGCAGTACTATGAGATGAATGATATTTTTGATAATAGGCATAGATGACTTGTCTATCTCACACCAGTGTTTTTCCGCCATATTTACAACCTCTACAGTGTCAACTCATTCTACAGAGAGCGACTGAAAAGAATGAGAGATCACATGGATTTTGTAGGTAATACATGGAAAAAGTTTTGTCCCAATTGATCAGTCATTGTTAATAAACTTTGCAAAACAAGTGACCAAATTTCAATAGCCCTATAGGATTATGTAGAAAAAACACACATTTGATATAGCGTTACTTGAAAAAAAATTAGACTGCAAGCATTGTCAAATCTTAGAAGTTTTATGTAACTTGCATGGGCAATGGGCAACAAAAAACTGATCTTGTGCAGCTGAACTTTTTCATAATAACTGTTTTCAATGTTAAAAAAAAATAAAGTTTGGCACACAATGTGAATCACTTGACAACATTTTTTTTGCTATTTTTCATCTCGATTCAAGTAAAATGTATTCTAAAGTCAAATTTCCAATAAGTTCCCATTGGATGCGGGTATCACACTTCATGAGGTGTCTAGTTTAAAAACCAGATAAGTTTCTCAGTAAATATTACAAGAGAATAAAAAAATGATAAAATAGCTGTTTTTTTAAATTGAAAAAATATACAATTTTATGGTAGGTATATTATAGAGTAGATATAGTCAATTTACAGGTCTCGGGAAAATATTTTTTTAATTGGAGAAGAAAATTTTTATTAGTTGTATTCATCTCTTGAAAAGTTTTTGGAAACTGACTTACCTGGTTTTAAAACTAGACGACTCATATAGTCTACTCAAAAATGTACCGAGTGGTGATTACACTACAAACAAAAAGCAAAATGAAGTTGATATACATATTTCAGAGATTGTGAAGTGAAACGTCCAAAAATCTAAAGAACATACTTTTCCAACACCAAAATACTGTTTCTCGACGTGTTCTGGTGTGGAAAAAGTGTTTTCTTTAGATTAATTTCATGCCAGGGATTCCAATTCTACCTATAAATTTATGTACAAGGATAATGGAAAATTTCAATTATCGCAAAAAGTAGGCTCTATATCAAATATAGCCTTACCACCACATCCAATATCTAAAATAGAAAGCCCTTCCAAGGGTAACGGACTATCAATACGTTTCTTCTGAACCAAACCAGAATTAACAAGTCCATCCCTGATTAGGGGTACCCTCAATTTGTTCATTGAATGCAAAGCTTTCATTGGTCCGAATTCGTCCCACCATCCTTCTACAAATTTTTGAAACTGCTGTACTTCCTGCTGGTCTACAGTATTGGTAGCAGTCGCTAAAAAACTGAAAGATGATCATCGAGCCAGAGCAGTACAAAATACTGAATCCTTTACCGTATGCAGTTTTTCCTGGCTGTGATAGATCTTGTTAGCATCGCTATGTATCTCTATTCTGAAAATAATAGAAACAAGTTGAAAACAAATGATAATGTGTAACCAAAAGTTATGTAACTACACGTTTTTTATGATCTGTTCTCATTATTACAATTAAATAACAGAAATTACAGAATTTTCAATAGACACATATACCAGCAAATAAACGAATTGAGTGTATACGATTCGTTTATTCGCTAGTATATGCGTCTGTGAGGACATTCTCAAAAATATTGGGATATAGAGAAAAAGTGTGAGTGTAGAAATGCTAAAAGGAAGATTAGCGAATGGACAGATGGAAGTTCGTCATGATTTCATCATACAAAGTGTCCTGACTGTGTTGTTCTCTCAGGTTTAGTTGACAAAATAGTAGTTTTGGAAAATGATGAATTCCTCTTTTTTGTGATGGAGTTATCTAATACTTAGTGAAAATCGATAACATATTCAAGTAACACTCTAATGTGAGATTATCATTGAACAATTTTCAAAACCATTACATGTGCTTCGCTTCCTCATGACTACCTCAGGCGTGTTTATATTGACCGAATCAGAATGAACACACACAAATTCTACTTTCAAATCAGAGAGACATCTGATTTTTCTCTCGATGGGAGAGTTCACCAAGAAAGCCCCTGCTGTGTGGATACGAAAATCTTCGTTTTACTGATCCTGCTGAAGTTGACGCCTGATTTCAAAATTAGGCTACTGGCAGAGTAGCTCTTTCTTGTCTTTCAGAACGGAAACATCTATTAATTTTGAATGTTTTCATTGATATTTGTACTTCTTTCAAAATACATCTTCCTTCCTTATGTATGTTCCATGAGAAAAAAAAAGCCATATTCTCTATCCCCTTATTAAAAATATATTGGGTTAATTCCTAGATGACAAATCATTTGAACGGCACGTTATTTTGGATTCCTGGCAAAAAGCTAAAGCTAACCCAATGTACGTAATTCAGGTTGGCATAAATATTTTAATTTGACAGTACACCATAATATTCGCTTACCAATTACGACTCCAATAAAATAAATACAAATTTCAAATCCTCTAGCACTAACATAACCACACTTTTTTGACTTGACGTAATTATAGCACAGAATAGTAAGCAATTGTTTACTATTCTGTGATTATAGTAAAAGAAAAAGTGACATGCCTGGTGTTTTCCCAGATTTTCTTACAGCAAAATGTAGATATTTGTGATGCACTGTTTGGAACCTTTGGTGTAGTAATGAATATTACTGGAGTTTTTTCCCAAACACCAAATCGTTATTTTTAACACCTCGACACGTGGTTCGATCACAAAGTGATCATCTTCAAGAGAAAGAATTATCTTCTGAGTGTTATTATTGTATTTCCTGTGTTAAATTCAAGATATTGGACAGGAATTTTCCTAATTTTGTAATTTTTTTGAGAAACAACAACTGAAGAACTCTTTAAAATAATATACAGTGCATTCTAGTTAAATAGAGCCATTCTGACATTGACATTGAGAACGTATAAAGACTGCGAAACAACTTTAGTTTTCAAGGAACGTAAAAATCAACCACTTGACAACTTCCCTTCCCGTAACAACCCACATGTTAAAAAATACACATATAAAGTATTTCAAATCTGTATCAAACATTACAAAGATAAGCGGTGTCAGAAAAAAATAAAACACTTTTTTTAATTTGTATTCAATTTAGAACTATGAAGTGAACTCAAAACACAAAAATTCACTTCATTAAATGAACTGAGTACCATTAACTTGCTTACAATTTTATAAACGAGCTGATGTGCCCCCTTGCATTCTGAAGAATATCAGGTGGTAGTAGCCTACATCAGCTGGTAATTTCTTTCCGTATCATAGTTGGCTGCTTCTCATAGAATTTTTATTTCAATGATCCCCATAGAAAAAAGTCTACTGGAGTCGAATCAGGTGATCTGCATGGCGATTCAATCGACTCACAAAGCTATTATCGAGGAACTGCCGCCCTGATACTACACAATGAGGGAAAAACCACCCCATTCCGCCATAGAATATCTGACTGGATGGTATTGTTGTTAATGCTCAAAAATTCCCAATCTTATGATTGATCAACGATTTGAATAATATGTGTCCACATAATTCGTTCATACTTTGTAATGGTAATCAATTCAATGACCTGTTTTGTTTTTCGCTAGGCTAGACTGTAGACTGTACCTACACGCAGCTCAATCGCTCGTCGAATAATTGCAAATGGGTAGTTTTATAAGGAAATAGTGCGATTAAAATATGTCTGAAAAAGCAGAAGGCTTTTAGGACGGTTGAGTCTGATGAAAGTCATAGAAGAGGAGGAAAACAAAATAAGACTAGATATAAAGCAAGAAATCAAAAATTAAAACGAGAAACTTGTCCAGCTTTCAGAAGAAAATAGGGATGAATTGAATATATTAGAAAAGAAACAAGACATATTAGAAAATAAATATCATATTTTACTGTAGCGAAACATTTGAATGCAAAGATGGAGGGAAAATCTCTAATTGTTAACGGATATACATACAACTTGAACCAATTGGAACAACCTGGAATTCTAGCCACAGAACAAATAAAAGAAAATACTCAAATCAAAAAGAGTGAAAAAACAGAAAAACCCGAAGATTTGAAATCAAGCAAAACTGAAAAACGTTCGAATTCATCACCAGTAGAAAAGAAATCAGAAAAAAAGAAAATTCAACGCTCTAACTCAACGTCAAGTGAAGAACTTATATCTTCAAGAATTCTCCGCAATCAGTTGTAAAATTTCAATCTCAAAGAACCGTACTAACACTGGTTCTTCTTTTCTAATTTCTTACCTTGAACCTCAGAGTAACAAAAGACAATAGAGTGACTTTTTGCATCCTTATGTTGAAGGCAGCATAACCTTGTTTGTTTACGGGAAGTAAGTTGGACCATAACACAGTGGCGGTTGGTTCAGTTGATAATCGGAGGGATAGTATATATTTATAAAATAAATCATTTCAGGTGAAAATGTATTCTGTTCAAATAGTTCCTATAGGAAATCCGATTTGTTTTTAATGATTATGGAAATGAGGTCAGTTTTTCTACCACCTACTAGATTTTTATTTATGTATGGCTTTATAATAAAGCGCGTGGTTGACTGGTTTGAAATTAAATTATTTTATATGAACTAATTCATAACAATGATAATGTTAACTTCAAAACTAATGAACTTTGCTTCATAAAATCAGATAAAGAAATTGGTGATTTATTCTCAGACTTGATAAACAAGCGGTACGGTTTGTGAGGTCCGAAATGAAGAATTTTCGATTAGAAATCATGTATATTTATAATTACGATTGATGTTTGATATTATTCTGTGACTTTATTCAAAATCGGTATCTAGGGTTCTTTGTGGATCGACATTATGAAAGGGGATATTTTTGATGTTTGTAATGATCGTTTCTTTGATCTTATAATTATAAATGGAGTTTTTGAAACTAGGTTTACATTATTCCATTATTTGACATGTATCAACCAAAAAGAGGTTAAAAAATGACAACCGTCATTTCTTATTGAAAATATTGTCTGTATGCAACTCGAAAGTCTCGTGCAAAGAAAGAAAAACCAAAACGGAGATCATAGATCATATTCTTTGTGTGACATAAGTTAGTTGTTAAGTGAGGAATAACAGATATAACACCGGTTGCAACGATTTTTCGTAATTATAGAACTCGTCAGCATGAATTATTGAAAAAAAAAACATAACGTCGGTCCACAAAGACCCCTAGATACTAATTTCGAATGAAATCACATAATAATATCAAACCTCAATCGTAATTAGGTATAAATATTCATGATTTCTAATCGAAAATATCCAAACCATACCAACCAGTGCTTGCACTTCCCTACATCAGAGGATTAGCGGAGAGGATAAGAAGAATTGGTTCCAAGTACAACATCATTAATATTTTCATGTACTGTTAAATGCTTTATTATTTTGATAATTTACCGTATACCACAGTTTGTCATTCGTTTAGTCTCAAGGGTACTGTGGTAAATAATAACTGTATAATAATTATTATTGAGTGAATTAGGCATTTCCATAACAAGGAATATTATCAATAATATCTAATGAGTTGAATATAATATATCTGTTTTCACAGGTACCCCAAAAATTAGAAATATCCCGTTCTTAAGAGTGTAGACAAGTTCCATTATATTTTTCAAAAGTTTGGTTTTAATCTAATCAAAATGATCATAGAAAGTACTTCAAAAACTGATTAAACAATTACACAAGCATTCCTATTTAAAACCGTATCTGTTTATCTTGAACCCTCATAAGTATTTTGTTTTTCTACAAAATTAACAAATACTTAGGTACATGTTAATTTGTTCAGTGCATTGGACGGAATGAAAAACTCGTTGATCGTTTTACTGATTTTGTCAGGTGAATATCCAATTTTTATATTCATCAATAATCATTTGAGTTCAGTTCGATTTATTCAATTATTCTTTAGTAAAATTCAGCTAGATCCGCAATTTCAGCAATAATCTACTATTCTGTATGGATTTCACAGTTTTACAAACTTAGAATAAATGAAAGCAAAAAACTTCACAATCAGAAATTAAGGATGAACTGCTTGCCAGTTCCATCAGGTCTAGATCCTTCTGGTCGGTAGCTAAAGCTGTTAATCAAAACTTTACAAAATTGACAATTCCACCACTAACACTTGAGGATGGTTCAATTGCAACAAAACCCATAGAAAAAGCTAATATACTAGCTGAACAATTTGCGTCCCACTCCACAGTCGATTTTCTGAGAAAGGCATCACCCACTTTTCCCACACTAGAATCCACAATGCCGGAAATTACTTTTCGACAAGGTCTAGTCAGACAAATTTTGAAACAGCTTAATATCAACAAGACGTTTGGTCCCGATTGTACTTAAAAAGTTCAAGTTTTCAAGTTTTATTCAAGTATTGCATGTACAAAAAAAAATTTGTACATGCAATACTTTCTTATTATAAAAATAATAATAATAATCGTCTTTACTATTTCTACATTCAAAAGAATACAATAAATATTAGAAATCAAGGTTCATATATGGAAATAAAGAGCGAAGTTTATTTTCTGTTGTGTAAACACGACAGAAAATACTCTTCCACTCAACCCCAAAGTTAATGATGTTTCAAAGTGCTATTTACTTTATATTTCCTTCGAAAATAAAGCTAGGAGAAAATAAAAACGAAATTATCAAATTTCGGTTTTTCTGGGAAATCTCCGAAACTATCCAGAATATTAAAACTTTTTAAATGGCATATTATTAGGCACATAAAATGTGCTACTTTTCTGTAATTCAAACGAAGCCGTATCACTTACCGTTTTCGATATCCCCATGCTGTTCATTCTTATCTTGGACACAGTATCAAAAATAATACAATCCCTGTCAACGATCTCTGGAGAAAATTATTAATCAATTTAACAATTCCTTGTAACTTTTCCATCACGACCTTCTTTCCCACTTAGAGTGTTGTTCGTGAGATGAAATCATTACTTCTCCTCTGTCTGAAACGAAGGCTTCGTACATGCAGTGGAACGCTTATGAAATCAGTCGAGTAGCAAACAGTTAGTACTAACTTTTAGTTAGACTAATAAGGAGAAACACTCCGAAATCAGATTTTAGATGATCCCTTGGATTGATTTCAGCGAGGTCCTGCCGCACACCACAAACAGTTGATAGTAATCCCGAGAAGCGGCAATAGTACATGTAATTAAAAATATATTCTTTTCCATAGGAATTCTACAGATTCTGGGACAAAAATGTCAGCCCAAGGATTACGGAAATGGTGGAACAGTTTGTGTGTGTAATGCAAACCACTGCGATACAGTCGAACCCGTGAAGAAACTCGATCCAGGATATTACGTTACGTATACGTCGAATAAAGAAGGTTTGAGGTTCGAAAAAGAAGAGGGAAAATTCGGACCAGATGAGGAAGCATTGAAAAATATCATTATAATCAGGCAGGATGGGTACCAGGAAGTTTTGGGTTGGGGAGGCACTTTCACTGATGCTGCAGGAATCAACATAAATTCTCTACCTAGCGCTGCTTCGGAAAAGTTGATGAGGTACTTGTAATTGTTTAAATGTTTCAAATTCATTGTGCCATTAGTTTTTGTGTGAATGAGCGTTCAGAATCGAAATTTTAAACAATCAAACAAACTTTGGGAAGAATGAAACTCACAGGTAGTTATGAAAAGGGCAGATATTTCACTTTGATTAACTACATAGATTTATGTGTGCTTGATTGACATAATTCTGCTCAGCTGGTGTGTGCGATCGCACGGTAATGGCAACTCTCTTCCTCACGAATTAGATGAGAAAGTACTCCTGCGGCTACGCCCTGCAGCAGGGGTCGTTAGAATAGCCCTTCCGGGATATTCTAAGAAGTAAGACTCTTCTTAAATGATGGCCCCATTCTAATCTGTTTGCATTCGTATCGAAAGAATGAATGACTCTGAGCCCAGTCAGTGCCACTTCGAGTGTCCTCTCGCCTTGTTACGGTAATGCTGGGCTCTAGAGTGATGGGTATCCAACTCTCCTCCCTATAACATTAAATTAGGAGTCAGAGCTTCTCAGTTCTTCATCTCTTGGACTAAAACAAACCTTGGAGACTAAGTGGTGCAGCCAGGAAACGACTTATCACTTCCTCAAGTGAAGAATATTTCATGAACCCACCTTGTACGAAATTCTTGAGCAACAGAAGTCAAATCTGTACGAGGAGAGGAACCAAACAACCTCTAAGGAGATCATATAACTCTCAAGCGATGATTGACCCAAATGTGAGGTAAAAAATTCCTGCATGATTGAATCGTCAGGTATGGCTGACGTACAGGTGCCCTCATTGGAATCTTGCACCTTGGACAACCGACAATATCAGTATTGTTTAATCAACTAAAATTTCCTCAGTACGCCATTATGGCTGCAGAATATTCCAGAAGATAGTCCAAAGGTATGTCTCCTGACGTGTGTAGTCTCCCTGAAATGAGTAACAGGGCGCTTACTTTCCCAGCCACATACTTGTGTTGCTTACCTAGATACCTAGATCGCCGATCAGGTCCTCACTAGATTGAGGAAAATGTCGTGTCAGCCTGATCATGTTAATTTTGGAATACAGCAAGTACGAGTATTGAAAATGTATCAAAATCATCACCCATTGAAGGAATTTTATTTTCATTTTGTATTGTCAATTGTTGGGTTCGAAAATTCAATGTCTATTTTTTACCGTTAAAATATATTATATGTCTAAAAAGCCTCGCAATTAATAATATCCATATACAGAAATATAAATATGTTTGTACAGTTGACTATATACATTTGAATAATCTGTCTTGAGAAAAAAAATTTCGATTTTCAGGTCATATTTCTCCGAAGAAGGTATCGAATACAACTTGTGTAGAGTTCCACTTGGAGCTTCAGACTTTTCCGCGCATCCTTACTCCTATCATGACGAAGAGGATGACCAGTTACCCAACTTCAAACTTGCAGAAGAAGATTATACACTCAAAGTAAGGAAAACATCTTCATCCTATTCTCCATCACTAAGTCCTTCAGCTCTTCAATTTTTTTATTACTTTATCTTTATCAGTTTCCTTTTCCAATACTGGGTTTTTGTGTATTCATAGCAATTATTGCTTGTCCATATACATCTACTAGCGACTCACACGGGAATTAAATGATTGGAACGAGAAAATAACTTTTTAAAAAGAATTTATTTTACAAACTAGAGACGACTGTCTCTTACGAGAGCTACAAACAGAATGATTATTAATATAATGTTAACTGGATGCTAACTGCATGTCGAGATAAGGGATTCCTGGAATATCTCTTACTCAGCTGAATCTCCGTGTGAATGGCCGTGTCGTGGGAACTATGACCACGTAACTCGGGTGCAATGCTAATACTAAACATAAATTGACCCACCGGAAATTTAATGGAGTGGAAAAACAGTGATAAAAAGATAATTTTGTTTTATGGACGCGCCTTTTTCCTCCGCGGATGACACTCCAGTTGGAATATTAGAAAATTCTTTCTATTGCATATCTAGAACAAAAAACAAATCTACATACGAAATATCAGCCTCCGAAAATATAGCGGTAAGAAGAAACAGTGATGAAAAGGTAATTTTCATATGTGAACGCGCCCTTTTATCCCCAGAAGGGGCGCCCTAGTTGGAATATTCAGAAATACGTTCTTTTCGCACATCTACAACATAAAACGAATCTATATAAAAAATGTCAGCCTCCGAAAATATAGCTGTACGGAGAAACAGTGATGAATAGTTAATTTTCATATGCAGAAGCGCCCTTTTATCCTTAGAAGGGGCTTCCCAGTTGCAAAATTGAAAAATAATTTATTTTTGCACATTTAAAACATAAAACGAATCTACATAGAAAATTTGAGCCTCCGAAAATATAGCGGTACGGAGAAATAGTAATGAAAAGTTAATTTTCATATGTAGAAACACCCTTTTATCCCTAGAAGGGTCGCCCTAGTTGGAATATTTGAAAATACTTTCTTTTTGTACATCTACAACATAAAACGAATCTACATAAAAAATTTCAGCCTCCAAAAATATAGCGGTACGGAGAAACAGTGATGAAAAGTTAATTTTCATATGTAGAAGCGCCCTTTTATCCTCAGAAGGGGCTCTCCAGTTGGAAAATTCAAAAATACATTCTTTTTGCACATCTACAACATGAAACGAATCTACATAGAAAATTTCAGTCTCCGAAAATATAGCGGTACGGAGAAATAGTAATGAAAAGTTAATTTTCATATGTAGAAACACACTTTTATCCCCAGAAGGGTCGCCCTAGTTGGAATATTTAAAAATATTTTCTTTTTGCACATCTACAATATAAAACGAATCTACATAAAAAAATTCAGCCTCCGAATATTTAAAATTACATTCTTTTTGCACATCTACAACATAAAACGAATCTACATAAAAAATTCCAGCCTCCGAAAATATAGCGGTACGGTGATAAAAAGGTAATTTTTATATATAAACGCGCCCTTTTTAATGACCACGGCGGAAGCTCTAGTTGGAATAATTGAAAATCTTTTCTTAGTGCGCATCTAAGAAAGTACCTAAGTATCTAAGAAGTACCTATATACCAAATTTCAGTTTCCTAGAACTTACCAGTACGGAGAAACAAAAATTAATGAGTGTTAAGTGACTTTGGCATTCATAAATATAAATAGATTTCCATACCACTAATATTTGAATTCCTGCTATTTCATTTACCATCTTGGGCAATTCCTTAGACATATTTTTTCTAGTTAACTTGGTCTGTTGATTGAATTTATCTCTCAGATTGTAAGCAGCATTAGTAAGAACTTATCAATCCGTTTATCATGACAGTAGACTTAAAGAAAAAAAATCAAAGAATCCTGAATGAGAGATACTTCAATACTTTCGAAAGTTAACCTTGGGAACTAAAAGTAGTATTGTAAAAGAGTTGGTTGGGGTTGATGTGAATATTATTATTAGAAAGGTGACTGATTTTTGTATCCCCCTCATCTATTTTCTGTAGTTGTGAATATGTTTTAATTGCAGATACCATTGATTCGGAAAGCTATGGAATTGACAGATGGAGATTTGAAACTTTTTACTTCTGCCTGGATAGCCCCGAAGTGGATGAAGGAAAATGGAGAATATTCAGGAATGTTTGGATTTCTGAAGGAATCCAAGTACCAAGTTTGGGCAAATTACTTTCGGAAATTCTTGGACGAATACAAAAAGGAAAATATTACATTTTGGGGAATAACAACCGGCAACGAGCCCAGTTTGGGACTTACACCAGCCAAAATTCCTTCAGTTGCTTGGACTGTGGAGGGAATGGTAAATATCATATGTGTTGGGATTGGCTGATACTTGATGAAAATCCATTACCTGTGTTTCAGTGTACAATAGCTTTCTCCGACGTATTTATACTGACTAAATTCTACATAATTTTACTTAAATCCACCGTCTCGATGAGTAAAAATTTCACCTGAGTTACTAAATAAAAATTTTGAACAATATTGAAAACATTTTACAAACCCATTGAATGGACATTCGAAAGACTGATTACCAATTTACCTAATTCAATTCAATTCGATGATTCTGTAAATATTCAGAATTCATAAATCATAAGCATTCCAAAGGATTGAGTTTCAAACCTGTCTCTTTCAAATGTAATACGCCATAGTCATCACGTTCAAGAAACTACTGCAATGTTATTTCATTCTTTGGGAAAAGTTTCTCCCCGTTTGGCCAATACGAAGTTGTTTTGCCAAGAACCACAAGTCAAATTTATACTCCTGATCTATCCAATACTGAAACTTTGTCTTTTCTGTTTTTGATGCATTTGCTTAGATAATTATTGGTTCTGTGAGCTACATTCAAGCCTTTCTTTCTCGAAAAACGAGTGATGGGTTCACTTTGTAACCGTTGCTGGCAGCAATTTGTTTGATAAAACCCATTTTCCTCTGAAAATTACTTTTTGACAGTGATAATCTGATATTGTGACAGTGATAATTTGATATTGATAATCTGCGAAGCAGGGATGTGTCGAGAAATTATGTATGGCAATGCCCATGAAGTGGTTTGTGAAAAATTGCAAAATCATGGTTATTATGAATTTTGGTATACAAAATTTATTGAATTTTTGACCTCCATTCCCGTGGTGAATTTACCTAATTGATAGATGAATGAAATTTACAATTTCGACAAACTTGCCCAACTGCCAAACTGAAATAATGAAACAGTTCAAAAAACTGTTAATTAACTCAAATTATCAAAAAACAATTCGTTCAGGCCAGTCTCAACTCCCTACACAGTAGGTTAATGGACTGACTACTCCCCTGGCTAATACCACGAAGGGCGTTGGATTATATTCGACAGGTGTCAGTGCAGGATTCTTCACAGAAGTTAAAGGGAGTTGAAACTGGCCTGAATGAATTGTTCTTTGATAATTTGATTTATAGCCAGTCTTCAAGTATACCCACTGACTATATGTGAAAGTTTTCTTTCCTTATACGAGGAATTGGGCAAATTTCGGATATTCACACAGGCAGATGGGGCGACGATAAACGTGTTGTATGTTGTATGCTTCAGCGTAGATCGAGGAATGATACTCTGACGGAATTTGATTTTCAATTATCGGAAATCATCGACTTTATGTTGATGATATACACTACCTTGCACTGACGAGTGGCCAAACAGCCCGAAACCGGTCATATTGGAGAAAAAAGAAGTTTCGGACTATATTGATGGAGTGGCAGTTCATTGGTATACTGACTTATTGATTGGTCCTGACTTGCTGTCAGGATTGCATGAAAAACATCCAGACAAGTTCATTCTGGGCACAGAAGCTTGTTTAGGTATTCGTCCTGTTTTGTTATCACGATATTGTAACGAATTAAATAATTAACTGTCATAATCAAATTTATTTTTAACAATATTTCACAACTAATCACAACTAATTTATGTACAACACTTAGTAACTAACGCTTAATTTATCTTCACAATTAGATTCCTCTCCTTTAACGCACGATTCACTTTCTAAGTACATACTACTCCTCGGGACGGAGAGCGACCTTTTTATATCGTCAACGAACGTTCCGGATTTCTCTGCGGATTTCGGGTCCCATCCACACCTTTCCCGCTGTTTCGCGATCAGACATGCGTTTGCTGACTGGGACATCGGTCAGGGCCGGCTTCAGATTCATTACAATATTTTGTTTCTTCACTCTGTAATTCAAGAGAAAATGTCACATTCACATTTTACAGCAGATGTTTTCCTTGGTAACAACCTCTTGGGGGCGTCCCCTGCTTGCATTGTCCTCGGTGTTCATTTCACCTCGTTTAAATCACTTCTCATCCGTTGATTTTCCTTGTGCTAAGTGTAAATAATGTTTATCAAGCGCAGCCTTGGCTTTAATAGTATTTTTTCGCCAAAAAGCAATGCTTTATTAACACATGAAATTCCTTTTTTATCCATTTTCTTCAAAAGTTGATTCCCTTAAAATGTTCTATCCCACAAACTAATAGTGAGACAGCTGTGAAATTTGTACACATGTCTTTTGAAGGTTAGGGTTAACTAAAAAACTCTCGTTGACAAGTGACGCAAGACTATTATTTCTTATGAAAAAATATTGAAAACGATACCTTTTTACTTAAATTCTTTTACACCTTGATATCTTTAAAAGTTAATAGGGTGGACTTTTTACGTCCACACTGTATAACTAGCCCAACTCCAGGAGTTCTTATGAAATAATTTATTTAAATTCATAGGCGCTACTCCCTTCGGATCCCACGTTATATTGGGCTCTTGGTTGAGAGGAGAATATTATGCGAAAGACATTATTCAGGTAAGATTAAGTTATATAAAATTATATGGAAATAATTTCAATTTCAACGTATCCAATGAGTACTCAGCAGAAAATTTAATATTGTTGATAAATGTTTGGGAAGATGATTTGAGACTACTCTTGAACACTTTCACAGTTTGGTTTTGACTGTCTACTTCTCCATCTTAATGCAAACAATGTGGGAATCTTCCGAAGAAAGGAAGGAGACAAGACCTCTTGAAACAGCTACTTCCATATAAACATTGAAGTACACGAAAAAAAAAAGTTTTATATGCACATTAAATTATAAAAAACACTTTTCTCTACTCCAATCATTCGTAATGTAATTGAATCAGATATCATTCACAGGATTCTTACACAATATAGTGAACGAATGAAGTTAAATTGCACTTACATGGAACACTGTCATCCTCACTAATAAACATCTGATGTTTCGGCATAAAACACTTGTCTTATCAGTTCATCAGTACCAAATCTGAATAACATTAACTGAAAAAACACTCAATTCATAGTATTCATGTCTTCGATGACAGTATAATGGCATAATGGCATTCATTCGTGTATACGAAAAATGCACGAATAAAACTTAATAACATTTTCTCCTATCACAGGACTTAAATCACTGGGCGACAGGTTGGGTAGACTGGAATCTGGCTCTCAATTTGACAGGAGGTCCAACATATATTGACAATTTTGTTGATTCTCCCATAATTGTGAATGCATCTAGTGGGGAATTTTACAAACAACCAACATTTTATGCGAGGGGGCATTTCTCAAAATTCATTCCAAGAGGTTCGGTGAGAATCTATTCCAGCCAATTTGATGACAAGGTGCCTGTGACTGCTTTCCGTAGACCCGATGGTGGAGTGGCAATTATTATTTTGAACCAGTAAGTAGATTTAGGTGTATTTTGAGCATGATGGACACTTGAGAAAAGTATTAAAATGGGTTTTTAAACTGTACTCATTTGAAAAAAAAATTAATACAATGCGATGAAAAATGTAGGTAGGATAGTTCAAGTAAACGATATAGTGCAACCTGCCTTCCAACAGCTCCCTTTCAATACNCCGGAGATATTAGCCTTTAAGATTAGCATCGAAGTTGTCGACTTACAGTAATTCATGACGAGAATTTGGGGACCTGGTGGAGACTGACCCATCACAAATGGTGCGTGGAGTGGCGGAAGAACTAGGCGTCAGCTCCCATGCGGTTTTGACGGTTTAAAACGTATTGCAAAGGTCGAAATGATCGAAAAGTGGGTGCCCCACGATTTGAACGATCGACAGAAATTGTCACGTGTCGAGGTCTGCTCTTCTTTGCTTTTTCTAACCGGAGCGTCACGTGTGGTTGATATAAAATCCTGTACCACAAAAGGAGACGTTCAGGACAGTGTCACCCAGGCATTTTCCAAAAGCAGCTGGCGTGATTCTTTATAACTTTCGGCAACCGGGCAAAACCATCACAGCAAAATCCTATTGTGAGGAAATCGACGAAGAGTACTGAAAATTGCATCAGCAGCAGCCGGTACTGGTCAACAGAAGAGGTTCGATTCTGCTACAGGACAACGTCCGTCCGCATGTTTTACATATCACCATTTGAAAATTTAACGAATTTAGCGTCGAAGTTCTGCCTCATCCACCATACTCTCCAGACCTATTGGTAACCCACTACCATATTTTAAAGCACTCGTCGATTAGGACCAGGCAAAAGCGACATTCGTCGTCTTCATTGAATCCTGGGCACCCAATTTTTATGCTGATGGAATTGATCGACATGTGTTACTTTGTCAAAAGTGCGCTGATTCAAAGCGCTTGTTTCGATTAAGTCATTGAGATATTACAGTTTGAAGTAAACTCATGAAAATGGACATAACCTTTGAAACAACCATAATTATTCAAATATATGAAACCAATAGTGATTCTATTTCCAATAATTACTCCATTCAATGCCCAATAAAGAAAGTTTGTATATTTTCGACATATTCCGAATTGAAATTTACTAGGAAATAAATATTTAGACAAATCCACTTACGAAATATCATCATAGATTTTTATTTTCAGATATGAGCATCCCGTCAAAGGAAAAATATTCGACATAAGAAGAGGAGAAATAGTTTTTAATTTATCAAGTAAATCTTTAACATCTCTGTTGTACTGGTAATTGTGAAAAAGAAAAATAGACACGTTCCCCATGAAATGAAGTTGTTGTGTTTTACTTGCAATATCTAGGTTAAAACCGGTTTCGAAAAATAACTATTGATATTTAATGAATTTTTTTCTGTGACGGGAAAAAGTTTGACATTTTCACTCAGATGACAGGTAACAAAATGTCACTTTTTATGAGATTACTTTTTTCCCCGGGAAAAAAGTGGCTGATTTCACAAATTCGACAAGCTCCTGCAATACGAAATACAACAACAACCTTGGCCATTAAATGAACTTCATTATTTAAAAAGTCACTAATATGTGTACCTACTCGTAAATATCGCAGCTTTCTTGGGCGTGTAACCTTTCCCATTTTGTTTCAGAAATGTAATTAGTTTGAAATATTTTGGAATGTCTACATTATTATTTGATTGTAACATACTTTTAATCATTGAATAATTCGACCACATTGTTGATGGCTTTTGTTGTTGTGCCAGTTCCGAAAAATAAGCCAATAACACCGTCTCCGAGAAAGAACTGCATGTCTTTTTCATCTTCCATTCCATGAATCTTGAATACGCGGTTTCATAAATTTTCCGCGATTTAGCTGGCAATAATTTTTGTGACGCTACTTTCGCTGCTTCTACTAACTCCGGTGGAGTCAGAGAAAACTCGGAATTAGACATTTTTCAAAATAACTACTGACCACTAAGTTCGCAATTTTTAAATTAAAATTTTAAAAATTCAAATTTCACATCAATATTTTTCTACTTCAACATATCGTAATATGTTTTTTCAATATTGAATCGTCGTTTTTCCCGTCACAGAAAAAAATTGGGTATTATACACGGGAAAAATATTAGATTTTAGCTCTCGATTTTTTGTCTCCCTCTGATTCGCGTCGGGAGACAATACAACCTCAAGCTAAAATCTGATACTTTTTTCCTTGTATAATAAATAACTATTTTTATTTTCATGTTTTACTCACAACTGAACGTCACTCTGAAATGCCACAATATACAGAGTGTTTTAAAAACAAATCACATTGACCAACAAAAAAACTGAAATTACAATGAAATAAAAAACAAGCAACAACCAAAAAATAAAAAAAGAACTATTAACACGAAATGAAAATTAAAAAAAAATCAATAACAAGAAATGAAAATTAAAACTTCCCAAACAAAGTTACTTCACAGTAACTTGGTTTGGAATGTAAATATATGTGTATGTTTATCCATATGTATGTGTACATGCATAACTTTATTATTATAATTTTTTTAGATTTTAGTTGTTGTAATTCTGTAATAATGTTGATTGAATTAATTAATAACCCAAAAAAACGGCGACAGAGCGCATAGGCGCAAGGGAAGCGCGGGCGAAGGGTGCCGGATTAGTGAGATTTTTCTATATGTATATATATACATACTTACAGGCATATGTACACGTATACATATATGTATACATGTATGTATGCCATGTGTCATATGTGATGTGTCACACGCAGTAGTTTTCCTATTTTAATTCTAAGGGTGATGGTCACCAATAGGGTAGGGCAGGAGGTATGAGACTCGAGGTTATGATGAAAAAATGCCCCCCTTGAACAAAAAATCGACCTGTTTTTTTGCATTTTGCAATTTTAGAACATCTACATGAAAGTTTTGACGAACTGCTAACAAATGTCTTGTGTCGTTTAGTACTAGAAAAAAAACACTTTCTCTAGCGAAGATCAAATGTATTTTATATGTTGAAGTGTCACTTCATTAATGAAATCCAATATTAGAGTTAAGATGGACAAATGAGAAATAAACTGTTGATTTTCAAAAAATGTATTTGAAAAAAAAATTATAAACCTATGTATATCCTAAAAAAAGTACCCTGCTATTTTTTTATCACAACCTCCATAACATGCCACTCGGTTGCACCATATGATATTTTGAAACTAGCAGTTCCTCCAAGCTATTTTTGCTATCTGAAGCTGTTTCTAGAACTGGGGAGTAAGTAGATCAAAAGCTGACCCTGATGAGACCATTCAAAATCAAGATTCATGATGATTCAACTTGGCAAGAAATTAACTTTTTTTGTTCAATATTATAATACCATTCTTGTCATATGTTATAGAAGCAGCTTGTCCAACTTACGCATTATGTTGAAATAATACTTCAATATAATGACCCTTTATCTTCTGGATATAGAAAATAAATATCAACAACTCCTTTACTTGTCTTAACACTTTCACTATGTTTTATCAAGAAAATGGCTGCTATACCATATGCTAGGCAGGGCAATCCTAAAAAAAACCCTGATGAAGAAATGGTATCGATTGATATACCTAAATGAGTTAAATTTCACACAGATAAACAAATAGAAAATTGATCTTTCTACAAGTAGGTATTTCTCATCAAGTTAAGATAGTGTTCAGTCTGTTAACTACTCAGCAGACTATTGGCTGGTTCATCTTTACTTTTTCTTCATCTTTCACTATTAATGAAAATTAGAAATAGAACCTCTGGCAAAGAGTCAGTCCAAAACAAGCACTTTTTTTAATTATCAGAAATGCGATACATTTTTCGACACGCTTTCCACCAACCAAGTTGGTGACTTCAGATGAAAGAAAATTTGATTCCTATTCTATTTATACACTTTCACTTTCCGATCCACATCAATGGTTTCGGGTAGAAATTTGCAGAAAATCTTGTATTGAATGTTTCCATAAATTTCAACACAGTTCGAAACACATCAATGATTGCAGGTGGAGATTTGCAGATAGTTTTCGCAAATTTCAACAGAGTGATTCATGAAACGGAATAAATCGGGACCTTTGTCACTGTTGGTAATTCTCATGCTACATTTTGCTATTTCCAAACTCTCAAAAGCATCCTAAAATCCAGTGCCATGATCCGATTTCAACAACTTTAGCCAGAGTTCATTTATTAAATGACCGTTCTACAAGGAGTTTCGTTTCTGATGTGGTGGTGGACGGACGTGCCGACAGCGACCATCCACAAAAAAGGTACGCGGACGTCATTGTTGGAGATGAAACTCAGTTTGAGTCGTGAATGTCTGCCGTCATAGAACGTGCTAACATTAAATGAAACATTTTTGTGAACAGTCTAGTGTCCGACCGAAACCGAAACTCGGTGCCAAACCTACCGAAACTGCATTCGGGAGTTCACGCGCTGTGATCGGTCATGTTCGGCGCGTTGAATTTCATACAATCGACGAAGACATTTTGCCGCTTCCACATGCCTAATCATGTCGTGTATCAACTCAAATAAGTAATTTTATATTTAATATTTTTGAAAACCCATCAATAATATTCGAAAGAAAAATCTATACCTACACAAATGAACACCTCACCTATTTTAGGTATTTTTAAGGTGCAATTAATCTCTTTTCTTGAATAAGGATTTATTATGTTGATTATCAATAAGTGAAAATGTCGAAGAGTGAATAATGTTGTTATTCAAAGAAAAAAAAATAAAGACTGACTGATTATAATAACGTTTTCTTTATTTTTTCCTCAATCCTTGAAAGGAAGTTTCTGTTTCGGTTTCGGCCGAAACTGAGACCATTGCCGAAATTTGTTTTCGATTTCGGCTTCGGTCGTAAAAACCAGTTTGGTTCGGACACTAGAACAGTCTATAAGTGTTAAAGAGAAAGAGCACTCCCATTCACGCCGGTTGGAGGCCGGGTGGACCGGATGTCCACGTGGAGACAGGATTTTACCAAATAAATGTGTTAATTATGTGTAAAAAGTCTTGAAGTCTACAAAAAATTTCAAGTGGTTTTTATAATAAAAAGGGGGTGGCAGTATTGCTGCGAGCAAGACTGCCGCGCCCCCCGACGAAGGAGGAGGAGATGGCAGGAGGATGGACAAATGCGCCGAAAGGAAGCAACGTCTAAAAACTTAGAGAGAGAGGCCGTTCTACAAGGCGTGTTGGGCGACACTAGATCGGATATATTCTGCGTGTTCTTTGAAACGAGTTTTGATGGCTTGCTTGGTCTGACCGATATACTTTTTGCCACAGTCCTCACAGCTTATTTCATATGTTCCCGACTTTTCATTCTCCAACATCTTGTCTTTGAGGTTACCTAACATTTGTTGAAGTGACCAAGAAGTTTTGAAGGCTACAATCTAATCTGTTAGAGTACCTTGGTTCTTATGGAAGGTCAATGACGTTTGAATCCGTGTCTTTATGAAAAGTCGAAGATTTGCCAAGATTCTCCTTGAATTCACGTTTTTTGATCAACGTGATGAATTACAGCATTTGACAAATAACTGTTGCTTTCGGCTATGTCCTTGATGCTGTTATGCATGAGAGTTTTCAAGAAAATACTAGCAGTTCAAACAGAACACTTTTTCTTTCATATGAATACATGTTAATGAAATCTTGATATTTTTGAAAGTTAGTCTAAAAAGAATTTGGCAAAATGATAATATAAAATCGGTCAAACACAGTGATAGCTCTACCGATGGTAAAATGCATAGTACATGCTTGATAAATGGATGTCTTGTAAATGGAGCAGAGCTAATATTCATATTACAGACTTTGTCAACTATATTTTACATTGGCCGGGCTGACCCCTCCTACCCTCTGATGGGGATTCCTGTTTTGTTTCAGCTATTCCACCACTGAAATTCTCCTTAGTATAAGTCTTGGGAAATGATCTCACGAGATTCTTTGTATGGTAGAGATGTTCATTAAAATTTAATTCAGTTCCTTGTTTCACTTCCGCAGAATTCAGATTAAAAATGAAGTTCTCTCTGATAGTCTGTGCATTCGAAGCCAATTCCTGAATTGAATAAAGCTTTCAGGATATCTTCTTTGAATAATCTATCCATAATCTAATTTCGACTTTGAAACACTGTGCTGAGTACAACCGCATAAGTTGAGAAAAAACGATTTTACATACCAAAAATGATCAGAGAGCAAATTTAACAGTTAATTGTAGCTTTTTGAACTTGGCAAATTACGAACACAAGTTTCTCAATAAAACATAACATTATTTCTATAAGCAGTTCAAAAATATTAACTTTTTTGTCTTTCATCGTCAATTATTTATGATAAAAATGTGTCTTAATCTTTCACAAAACACAGTAAAGTTTGAATTATTAGTATCAAAACTTTCGTTTCTAATAAACCCCACACTGAAGCTATTTTCACTAGACTTCAGCTATAGATTGTGAAAAGTCCTCTCTCCCACTTGCTGTTTCCAGAAAACTTGGAATATTTCAGACATGAAACACCATGCACTTGAGAGTAGCTCATTGTTCTATTCAACTGCCGCATGTGAAACAAGCAAGCTGAGAATTACCGAAAGTCTACCTTCCAAATTGAGATTTTTAGCACGTTAACAAGTAGTTAAATGTAAAATTTTTGTACAGTGATACCCACCTAAATTTGTAACCTTGATCACACGAAAAAAGTAGTCGTCCATTGTAAGATTTTGAAATTTTCGCTTAGTGCAATGATATTTAATGTATGGAAAACAACCAGTTCTCAAAATATGATAGTTCGAATTTCCAACTTTCCAGTTGAAATGTGATTTTCCCCACTGATCGTCTCTGATACTGGAATACTAAAAATTGATTGGAGAATTATAATAGAAGACTGTTGAACGCATAACAAACTTTTACGAAGTATGATGTCCATGGTGGTTCGCTACATTGTTTGATGTAAGAAGTTAGAACCTCGGATGAAGTCGGCCTGTTTCTTTTATCATTACTTGAATATATCTTCCTGTATCGAACTTGTCTTGAAAGTGATTTTGGAAACATGTTATGTAGCACTTTTAGGTGTTCAGATGATTCCAATTTCACTCTTTCAGTTCTTTCACAGTGCGGATAATTGATAATTTTTGAATGTTTTTAGTTCACATTTGAATATACATATTCACTGGTCATAAACGTTTCCAAATAAAATGAACTTGAGCAAAAAAATAGTGTAGGAAGGTACAAAGCCTATTCAGTCTAGTCTTTATTTAACTATTTACTAGTTTTACGTCTCTGTAAAAAATATTCTACATTTTATTTTTCCATTCCGAATATTTGGAACAACATACTCCAAATACAATAATTCTACTAATGCAAGTGACAAGTCGTAAATATCCACATAACCAACATGCTCTTCTTCTTCTTTTTCCGTTAATGGCTTCAGCTGCCAGGGCTATCCAGCCAGGAGTTCCAGGATCATGTTGCTACTACAGGTGGAGCCCACACTAAAATGGATCTGAGTTGGACCCAAACCCCACTTGGTTTTGCGCTATAACAAAGTTCGACTGTAGTTTGAGGTCAGTTAACAAGCAATGTCCGTCTGCATTAGAGTGTAAGCACTAATGTGAGGTGATGCACTACGGTTACGTGTATGGACACTACGATCAGGTCATGATTGGAACATGCTCTTCTTTTTCGTGTTGCTTGACATTCTTGACATAGCATTGTCGCAGCACAGATTTGTTTCCTCTGTGGCATTGTCACGGAAAAGCAAGGTTAACCAATTCCTATATTATGTTTTCATTTTGAATTCTGAAAGTACTCAGTTCTTTGTGTTCCGTTTACACTCATTCAACAAATTGCGTAGCACTATGTTAATCTAAGAAACTTTTAAAAATTATGGATTCAGTTCACTGATGATCTACAATTATAATTTGAAATACGCCAATTGTACCGTTGAATAGATTAACGTTGTATTAATTGTATTGATAACAACAAGGTGTCAACTTGGTTGGTAAAACGCGCATAGAGAAAAGTTCAGCATTTCTTGTGATTGAGAAAAGGTCTTTTTCAATCTAAATTATCTATTTGATCATATGTTTTTTCATATTTTTTTGCCAATTTTCAGTTCTATTTCGTTGTTCCAAGAACAATGAATTCATTCAAAAGTTTACAATATTGAATATTTGAGAGAATTTGATATTTCTAGCATTTGGAGGAATTTTATGTGGAGACGATCCTCAGTTGTTAATTTTATTGTAATCAAATTATGAATGGAGTGGCCCGATACTTAATGAAAATTAATAAAATGTTTGTGAAAATTGTTCAATTACCATTATAGTTATTGTATTTAGTTGAAAAGTAGACTAAGGCCAGAATATAATGCTTCTATGGAAAATTTCATGAGTTTATATACAATATGGAACCTGCATGTGTCTTAGTATTCCAATTCTTTGATTTCAACCTGTACATCACTTCTAGCAAGTTTGTCAAAATTGCTTGAACCAAACTTGTTGAAAAAAAAAATTAAAATGTTCTCCCTCTTCCAAAATTATGATGCGCATATCAATTTGCTGAAGTGAAAATAAAAGCATGCATTTTCACTATTATATTTTAATAAAAACTAATCAACACACTTGTTGAGTAGAGTCAAAATCGAACGGCACTCTGTCGAGTAGAAACTGAACTAGAAGTTGTTGCAGCGGGCCAAAGTTGCGATTCGTTCAGCCCACAAAACAAAAACGAAGAAGTTTACGTTATTTGTTGGCTGCTAAAAAACGAAGAGTTGTTTTTCCAGTAGTAGTAGTAGTGAAAAGCAACAAGTGTCATTGGTGTCAACATAGTACAGGGCGCTCCCAGTAGTTATTGGTTTATGAAAAGACTTCCAAAATATTCAATTTGAGTAAACATTTGTTTGTAAACGTTTTACGGTTCTTTTGAAAGAACAAAAGACTCTATACTATTGCCGAATACAAAAATATAGATAAGGAAGTAGTGGTGAAAAGTTGTTAAGGGTGTTTGTGCAAATGTTTTGACTCTAATGACAAATTATCACAATGCGAAGTCAATTTAAAGTTTAACAGCCTAAGAAAACGGAATAATGGAAAAACAAGCGGAACATGATTTACTCATCCCCATTTCTTCAGGTAAGTATTTTATGATCTATTAAATATTGCATTTTGCGTATGGTTTCTTTTTTTATTTTGCAATAAAGCAAACTGAAATAATAGTAATTATATCTTCCCTAGGCCATATGGGTGTTAGTTAAATTTGATAACTCTTAAGCAATACCTGTTTTTAAATTCTGATTCTATTGTATGTAGAGTTGTATGTTTACAATCAAGAAATATGTCACTTTATATTGATGTATTGTTAATGGTGAGGAATATTGGAAATGGAAATTGATATATTCTATTCTGGTAAAAAATATGCTTTGAAATCTGCATAAATTTCTCCATAACAATTTCAAATGTTTGTGAGAGGTGAAAAAACTTTATAAAATAAACTTTATTAGAAAAAAACTTTTTTGATTCACAAAGATGTATAAATAATATCCAGAAGTTTCTTTCAAATACGAAAGGAAGAAAAATCCATCCAAAACAACTACTTTCAAATATATGGATATTGAATTACAGGGAATGCACTTTTTCTCATTCAGTTTGTACTCAAAACATTCGTTATGGAATTGAAACTTCAGAAGTTCCCATTTTCTATATAATGATGGATGGATTCTTTCGATAAGCTAATATCTCTCCTAAAAATATTTCCTTTTCAATAAACTTCATACTTACAATATTTCAACAAAAGTTTCTCAGTAGGAACCTTAATACATGTAATAACCACACACTAAATCTAAATTTCATTCACGAACGAACTCTAGACAGTGTGAAACTTTTGTGAAAGTTTATTCTTCTAAAAATATTTATTTTCATAATTATTCAAAAATAAAATCCCTATTTTTGGGTATGATGGCAAAATTAACCATTATTACTTATCACTATTTTGTTGACATAGAGATCTTTCAACAAGCGAAGGTTTTCATGAGATGTCAAAAGTTGAGCAGTTCAATAATCACACCTTCAAAAAATAAAATTGGATGAGGTAGTATGTTTATTATTATCAAATTTCTTTGGTAAAGTTATCCGTAAAAATTGACAAAAGGCGTAAATTCTACTCCACATTTGTGCCATTTAGTGAAATGAATGACAGTTGAGAACGATGCATTCTCAAGAATAAGTGTCTTGGCGATCAGGGTTTCTAACTCCGGCTGAAGAACATTTTCATTTTGGAAAATAATGAGAAAGAAGTTGAAATATTTTTTGACCAAATAATTATGACAACTAATACCCATAATTTCGTCACAATGTTCTCAAGCAGCATATTATCTGTAGATGAAAATTATAGTGAAACTATTTTGTAATTATCACTTCCCTAACGCTATTACTACTAATTATTCTCCTATTCTATCACTGAACAATCAGTTCCAACTAGTGAACAAATAAATACTATAATTCCAGATCTTTGCTACTGAATACAAAAATCCATATCGAAAATGTATGAAAATGCTTGAGTAACCTATTGTATGGCGAAACATGTGTTGGGGTTATTTGTGGTTTTATAATCTGACTAGTTGTGAAAATCTCACAATGAAGTGTTTCTTTAATAAAAATCCATTCTTTGGAACCACCAAAAGAAATTGGACCGTTGACAATTCTTTGCAATCTGAAATAGCAGAAATATAATTGAATATCACTGAGAAATCTAAATGATTGGTTACTTTTGGCTTCAATTTGAATTCACTGAAGATTTTTTTTATGTTTTGGACATAATAACACTTGGCATTCTATAGTTCATTGATACCTTGGTTTTTGAAATGCTTACTGTTATGATATGCTTCTTCTGATACTTGAATAAGAAATATCTATTATTAGAGGTATCTTTCAGAGCGCATCACAGACAGATCTTTCTCTCTCTTTTTCGTCCTCTATCTTCTTCTTACTATCTCTTCCGTTCTATACTCTGTTCACTATGTTTGGTTATACAGGAAAAGATATACTATTTAGTTTGCTGGCCACAACACAAGCTTGTTTATGTAGCCGTAACTTTCATTAGAATTGTATAATCTCTACATTTCATGTATCTTTATTCATTTATTTTATTTTCAGTTTTATTTCAATTTCATTTTATTTAATTTTTTCATTCTTTTGTCATAGACGACTATGTATTTTACCTCTGAAAGAGGTAAAATATATCCATAACTAATTTGGTAAACCATTTACGGTAGATAACATCCCTTAAATTATTCTCATATAATTTTGAATACATTTTACCCTATTTTAAATCAATAAGATAGTTGGACTATTCAGATTATTGTGTAGATTTTCTGTGATCAGTTCGAATCTATTGGCATGTTGGAAGACGTTCTATTTTTAGATTGAACCGAAACGATGAATCGGTAGAGTACTCAAAGTAACTCTTAATAATAGTTACATCATGTTACTCTTGCACAAATTCAAAAAGTGACTGTTGATAACTAACACATAACGCATGATAACGGTTTTATTAACAGATATCATTAGGGAAATATCAATGTTATTCAACTCCATAAAAATATGCAAATGAGCAATTCGCCCACGGACTTGTTATCAAGGGGTTGGAAAAAAGTTAAATGAACCCTTTTATGGAAAATAATTGGTGGTGAACTTTATATATGAAATAGTACTGCATTCTGCTTTCCAAATATATTTCAGTAGTAAAAAAACTCTGATTACACATTCTCTATAATTTGTAACGCGTCAGAATAACTCGTTTCTGTGAAATAGTACCACTTTAATATTTTTGTGGCAAAAAAGAACCCTAATGATACCCTCCACATGGCTTGTGAGGCCTCCGGTGAGGGTTGGGGGTAGTTTTTGTGCATAATCGAATAACCGATTTCTATGAAATAGTACTGCATTCTTATTTTAATATATGTTTTTGCCGCAACAAAAAAGCCTGATGATACATTTCATATAGAATAACTTTTTTCGAGATCAATTGCCCTAACACCAAACTGATATTTTTGCACTCGACGCGCGTTTCGCCAACAAAGTAAGCATCCTCAGGAGAAGAAAATTGATACCTAGTCTAGTCTGGTTACTCCTTATATACTAAAATTTGTTACCTGAAGTTGTATACCTGAAGTCCAATATGTAATTTCTCGGTAATTAACTACCTGCAAGTTCTTAGTAATTATTCTCTTCCTGACAGAAGATTAAAAAGCGGGCTAAACGGGATG